GACTCGTGAACATTAACATCAGTAAATGTGAGAGAGACCTTCAGTTGTTAGAAGTTACCCTGGGCTCCTTTGTGATCTCGCCAACTATTCCACGCATGGAGTGATCTTTGTTGGTCCACCACTCCTGGGGAGGGTAACAATGGTCTTGAATTTCCTCCATTTGTACACAATCTGTCTGACTGTGGATTGGTGGAGTCCAAACTCTTTACAGATGTTTTGTAACCTTTTCCAGCCTGATGAGCATCAACAACTCTTTTTCTGATCTCCTCAGAAATCTCCTTTGTTCCTGCCATGATCCACTTCCACAAACACGTTGTGAAGAGCAGACGTTGATAGATCCTGTTCTTTAAATCAAACAGGTGCCCACTCACACCTGATCATCATCCACTGATTGAAAACACCTGACTCTAATTTCACCTTCAAATGAACTGATGTTCTTGTTGTATCTCGGTGCAGTGATAATAAAACATTCTGATTCTGATTCTCCTAGAGGTTCACATACAAATGTGTACTATTGGATCATTTTCCTCAACCAAGTATAATATTTTGTCTCATTTGTTTAATTGGGTTCTCTTTATCTACTTTTAGGACTTGTGTGAAAATCTTATGAAGTTTTAGATCATATTGATGCAGAAATATAGAAAATTCTATAGGCTTCACAAACTTTCAAACACCACTGACTCATCTGCTTATGAGGGGGAAATAGGATGGCCTGTTTGTGCTTTTGGGAATTTGACTATTTTTGCACATTACTACTCCTAATTAAAATCCATCTCAAGTAAGAACCATGGGATTTAGACTCTGGGCTTTGCAGCCCCACCTGGCTTCACTGTGATTCCACTAAAATCAGTGTACTATAGTGTCTTAAAGTCAGCTTTCTGTTAAACTCTATAAAATCAAGTCCATTTTATGTTTGGTTAAAAACGTCATTAAGCATTATAGCTCAAGTTAATGAAGATCAAAGAATTGTGACCTGAGCAATAAAAGCATCTAAAATGAAGTGCATCATTTGAAATTATGGAGAGAGAAAAAAAAGATTAATAAATATTACAGCCAAGCTGCAGGATTCAACCAAACAATCTCAAAAGCAACAGAGCAACTTAGCACTGAAGTGTAACTGATTCTACAGAGTTCACATTATTTGAGGAACTTTTTACTAGTTTAAAGTCAAACAGGGCAATAACGTCTAAACTCTAAAACTCAGTGTCCTTCGTTGCACAAAATCACAATTTCTTGCTTTCTTGATAGAACAAGACAAGCCAGGGAGGCATTGAAACGTCCTTGAATAATATGTCTGAACAAGTGTGGGGAAACCTGATAAAATTCCTCGTAGGGACAAAGCTGCCCGAGTCGGCCGCTCTGGCACCAGCATCATGACTAGCTCTGCGACTAAGTCACGGGAGCCATTTTAGAGCTGATTATTCATGGTCCTACTGTACTGATGTTTCACTACATCAAATCCTCTCATTAGGTCATCCAACTCCAAAGGCTATTAAATTTTCAGCCAGCATAAATAAGTTAGAGGACTCTGCCTCTGATCACGCTGAACGAAGAGTCCCCAAACTCATCACAGGTGCTCTGCAAAAGAGAGAGGAGGGGAATAAAAAGTCCATTGGTGCAGGAGTAACATTTGCTCAATTAAATATGTGAAAAGGGCAGGGGCTGGCAGCTGTGAATTCTTTTTAGATTTAAAGCTCTGTGTGTGGTGCCAGACAGCATTTTCAGAAATATCGATTGGAATTTCGCTTTGGGTAAATGACTCCCAATGGGATCTCCTTGGAAACTGGGGCAGTGCCAAGCCACTGAATGTCTAACGACTTAATGCAAATATAAATCGCCATTCCAATCAAGGCCATTTTATTTGCAAGCTTAACTGAGGGAATACGTCACCTGCAGGGCTTCACATTTTTTGTCAATAAAACCCTGTCATATGCATTAAATGTATTCTGAAGTGATAACATATGATTTTTATTTCTGTGAAGAATGTTTTCTCTGCTTTTAACGTATTTAAGAACACTCGTGGGTCATTAGCTTGCTATAATTACCGTATTTTTTCCTGTATAAGTTGCACCTTTTTGCATAACTTAGCATGCCCTGTGACATATACAGCGAAGCGACTTATTTATATTTTTCTCCATATTTATAACCCAATTTTTGGCTGAGATCTGACTAATTCATTCTGGCATGGAAAATATTGAATACTACAACAATTTTAGTCAGGTCACCTGGACAATTTCTTTTTTTGCTGAAACGTTTAACCTTCTATCCGGAAGGCTTCATCAGTCAAGGAAACACAACACAAAACTGATTTTTATTTTTATTATATTTTTGATTGAATACTACAATTTTCAGCAACTAGAGGGCATTCAACTAATATGGCAAGCCAAGTGTCTCATTAGTAGGTAAAAGTGTCTATTAATGAGACACTTGGCTTGCCATACCAAGCCACCTTCGTCTCTCTCCAGAACTCCTGGTGCAAACATCAAATCAGGTGTATTTTGCCGCGCCACCCTGGCAAAATACACCTGATTTGATCATCAAAGTGCATTTATTAAGGAAAAGTTCAACTGAGACACACCTTTGCTGTAATGTCGAGCAAACAAATAATTGTTTTTAAGTGTTAATCTTGTTAAATTCTTGTTATAGTCCTCCCATGCACACTCCCGTGGCCGCCATTTGGCAGCCAATCGATTTTTGACCTGCCTGGTGTGTTCCTTGGTCTTCATGATGCTCTCTGCGCTTTGAACAGAACCCTGAGACTATCACAGAGCAGGTGCATTTATACAGCGACTTGATTACACACAGGTGGATTCTATTTATCATCATCAGTCATTTGGGACAACATTGGATCATTCATAGATCCTCACTGAACTTCTGGAGTGAGTTTGCTGCACTGAAAGTAAAGGGGCCGAATAATATTGCACGCCCCACTTTTCAGTTTTTTATTTGTTAAAAACGTTTGACACATCCAATAAATTTCATTCCACTTCATTATTCTGTCCCACTTGTTGTTTCTTCACAAAAAATTAAAATTTTATATCTTTATGTTTGAAGCCTGAAATGTGGCAAAAAGTTGAAAAGTTCAAGGGGGCCAAATACTTTCGCAAGGCACTGTATTTAGAACTTTATAGGTACTTGTGATCGCTAATAGCAGCTAGCTTTAGTACTTTTGGTGCAAGACATTGGAAAGTTTACAATGTAAAAGTATAAAGTTTTATAAAACAATATTAACATGCACCAATGTCAAATTTTAGAGATCAGAATTGTTTTAAAATCACAGCAATGCACTCTAATCTTGTTTCCATCTTAGCTCAAATGTCCAGTTAGAACTAATTAATTTTTCCTAAACTGAAGTTGTTGATGAAAGTATACAATTGGTAACTCATAAGTCTGTCGCAATAAACAAATCAATCTCATGATAAATGAAAGTTATCAACCTCATTTTCATTTTTCGGCTTTATCGTTTCTTCGTGTCTCTCTCTTTCTACTGAAGACACTGGACGACAAAAGCTCAACTCCGGTGCTCTTCACTGTCCCCTCCCTTTCTCTTTAAAATCTGTTTTAACCGTCCAAAATCGTGTTTTTGGATTGTTAAAAGCAGCTAAGCTGAGAAGCTAAGCTACGAGCTAAGCTAACAGGCCGACCTCGGGGGGGGGGGGGGGGGGGTTAATTTGACAATAATTACTAATTATTGTAAAATTTCAAACAATATTATCGTTTATCGTTTAGCAAAATTTGTTATCGTGACAGGCCTAGTAATTTAGTAATTGTTCATAACCTTTCCCCAGAACCCTTTCTTCTAATATCCGATCATGTCCTTAAGTTACTCCATTAATTTTCAGCTAATACAGGTTGTCCTCCATTGATTTTCAACCATTTTTGACCTATATGAACACAGCTCATTTACCAAAAGACTTAAGTAGATATTTAATGACAACAGACAAAAAAAACAAAAAAACAGGATAAAAATAACCATCGTAGGTAAACATTCATACTGGTAATAAACTGTAAACCAGCAAGGTTGAAGCCGAGATATTCTTGAGCTTTATGTGCAATAAGAATCATTTTAGCGTTTGCTCGCGGCCACAAAATGGCCAAGAAAACAAAGATGAATGGAACTATTGACTTTAAAAACGACCCTTTGAAAGCACAGCCCGAGCTCTATCCATCGCCATTTATTCATGAGTGTGACCTGTCGAAGGTGGGGGGTGATAGGAGGCTGGAGGGGGAGGTGATGAGCGCCCACCTGCTCCTCTCAGGTTCTAAGACACTGCATGCTAGGAGATCAAACAGGCCTAGTCGCTCTCCACTTTTCTCCTCCTCTCCTTGGCAAGTTCTATATAGGAGGCGACTGACCCACTTTTCCTCCCTCCCTGAGAGCTATTACCTGGAGAAAATGGAGTGATGGTGTAGCGGGTGCGCTGGGTGGGTGGGTTTGCAGGTCTGAACAAAAGCTTCTCATCTTCTTCTCTTGCTTTACAGAGATGAAGGAGCAGCATGGACTCCTCAAGAAAACTTGTCTTTTTTTTTTTTATCAGATACCATCGCGTGTGAGATTGTTTCTCTAATAGCATGTCTTGGTCGAGTACAGGCTTTGCATCTGTGCAAGTGCACACGTTAACTCGGCTCACTCAGATCCAGTGCTTTAACAGGAGGGAACTCATTGGGATGGTTGTGGTGTTTCGAAATAAACTAGACACGAGACAAATCTGCCAAATAAATGGATAATTTGACAAACACTGCAGGAGCAAATGAAACCAGAGCTACTGCATCAGTTCCACTGTGCTGAAGTAAATTGCTTACTGTCCTGGGGACTTTTTGGAAAACAAGCTAGCTCTCATTGTTTTTGCAGGTTTAGATATTGATTGCCATCATTGCTAGTGGAGACAGTGACCGATTTTTCTTGATTCATTTTGACAGAGCTTTTACCTCTCGCCTATTTTGCCTCCTTCTAAAATATCCAAGATATTTTTGTGACCTTTGCTGTCTTGTTCATGCAGGCCTCACATGGTGACAGAATACATGGGCATCAGGAATGAGAGCTTTATGAAGATTGCTGCCGTGGGGACATGGATGGGAGACTTTGTGACTGCTTGGATGGTGAGATTCAAGCTCCTGTGTTTTCTTGAAACTCGATATGTTTGAATTTTTGAAAAATTAAACAGATTTTTAACTCTTTAATTTTAGTACCACACTGATGAATAAAAAACAAATCAGTTTAGCTGTACTGTAATAGCAGCTTGACGGGGTAAATAACAGTTTTGGAGTGAATCATAAAGGAACCTTCTTCTGTTCTGACCTTTGACCTAAAGTCATCTGCCAAATACTGTTCTCTCTAAAAGTCTCTCTGCCTTTATTGATCATTGAGTATTCTGGTATGTTTTTCCAAGGTCATACTCTAGGACAGGGCTATTCAACTGGTGGCCCGCAGGTTGGAAATCCAGCCCAGCAATGACTTCATAAAAAATAAAATAAATTGAGGGGCAGGGTTCTGAGTTTTGGTTTTTGGTTCTGTTTCTTGCATTTATGATTCAGTAAAAAAACACATTTAAAAGGTAACAGATCATTGTAATACTTGATTTATGTACGTAATGACTTTAATCTCTGGATGCCCGGCCCCTGAGCTGCTGACTTTCAGAAACTGTGGCCCCTGAGCAGTTGTGTTGAAAAGGCCTCCTCTAAATGGAAAAATGGAAAATGGACTGTACTTATATTGCGCCTTTCTATCTTATTTCAAGATACTCAAAGAGCTTTCCACTACAATCTGTGCCTCATTTACCCATTCATACAGCACTCTACTAGATCTCTACAAAGCTAATTGAACAAATCATTCTGAAGAGACTAATCAGTTCTTTATCACATTCATACACCGATGGGACACACATCTGAGGCAATGAGGGGTTCAGTTTCTTGCCCAGGGACACTTGGTTATGTGACTGCTGGTGGATTCGAACCACCAACTCTCGCATTGGAGGACGACTGCTCTAACCGCTCAGCCACAGCCGCCCCTAGGACATCTATCCAAGCAGAAATTGAATGGTTGCTTTCTTCAAGACTCATCTAAAACATGATTCATGCAGAAATGGTATCTGATTGTGAAATATTTTGAAATGTAAAATTTAAATGAATGATTTATATATTATCTGATTAAAAATCTGTCAATAATTTAACAAGCTTTATTTATTTTTATCTTACAGCAGACTATTGCTGTGTAACATAACTTTGAAAAGCATGAGTTGATGTCATTTGTACAGATCACCAAGGTTTAGCATCAGCTGTCTGGTGTATAATTCAATTCAGTTCAGTTTATCAAGTCACAACAAAGTTGTCTCAGGTCACTGAACAGAAATATTCACATATATAAAAAGCCAATTAGTAAAGTTCTCTATCTGAGGAAGCAGCAGATTGTGTTGACTCTTCACTTCATCGCAGTCTCCCATCCTGAGCAAGCACAAAGGAGACAGTGGAAATGAAAAACTCTGTTTTAACAGGAAGAAATCTCCAGCAGAACCAGACTCAGGACGAGCGGTCACCTGCTTTGACTGGCTTGGTTTGAGAGGCCAGGAAGGAGAGGCAAACGAACACAGAATGACAGGTCCAGGTGTACTTTCTATAGGAGGAAAGACAAAAACCATGTTGATGGAAATAATTACAAATACCAAACAGTAGAGTAAGTAAAGATAGCAGCAGAGCGAGGAAATGTGGTCAGTTTGTCCTCCAGCAGTCTAAGACCTACAGCAGCATAACTAAGGGACATCACAGAAAACCAAGGTCTTAAAACTGGATAATGTGTCAGCCTCACGGACAGAAACGTTGGTTACGTACTGTAACCCCAGATTCAATGAGTATAGGCATAACCCTTTAAGGTTGACGCTAGTGGGTTTATCCCTACGCACGCAGCACTGAAAACTTTAGTCCACACCCACCTGCTGTGTGGGCCTCACCCCCGGTCCGTATAAATTATGGTGAGACCGGGTAGTTGGCTCCCAAATAGCTTTTTTCTTCAGCCATTTAGGAACCAGTGAGGCCCAGAGCTTAAAGGGCTACGCCTATACTCATAGAATCTGGGGTTACAGTACGTAACCAACATTCTGTTTCGTATAGGCTTCGCCCTTTAAGACTGTCGCTAGTGGGTTAAAGGTGAAGCAGGATGTAGTCCATGCCTCACTGGGTCCATTCAGACACAACATGAAGCACCTGCTTGCACAAAAAAAAAAAAACAACAACCATTTAATCACTCAGCCTTTTGTGTGCATAATTACATGCTGCGTAACTGCGTGTTTCATGCGCAGGTGCGCACTGGAGAAAAGATCTCTGGTGAGGATAAAAGGCTGGGATAGCAGACCTGCTGCTGTGAATAGGAACAACGGAGGATACGAATTGTAACAGTGTAACAATAAACAGAGCAGACCAACAGCTCCTCGGGATGAACTGATTAACAACGATAAAATCAGCAGTCATGAACTTGTGACTGATAATAAATATCTCACCCTGTGACTGCATGCAGGCAGGTGTGAGCTCAAAAGTGAAGCTCCATGAAACAAATAATAATCATTCTGTCAGAACCCTGAGAACAGAATGGGTCATGGAGAAAGTAGAAACATCACATAGATAAAAACGAATAATTGGACATGGCGATGACCAGGCAGCCGCCATACAAATATCCTCCACTGTCATCCCTCCATGCAGAGCCATGAAGGATGAAAACCCTCTGGTGGAATGTGCTCTGAGATTCTCTGGAGGTTCCAGCCCAGATGAACTGAAAGCTTCAGAAATAGCCTCACACAACCAGTGTGAGAAATGCTGGGTGGATAGAGGACGTCCTGAAGAGTTGTCCCAGTAATGCACGAACATATGCTGAAAGCGGCGCAGTGCGGCCGTGTGCACCATGTAACATGAAAAATGCACGCATCGGACAGAAGGAGGTGAGATGTTGCTTCCTCCTCAGAATTATGAGGAAGAGGATAAAACCCATCCAAGTTTATCACTCTCTATCTGAATGAGCTTGTGATGCTTTTCAGAGCAGGGTTAAAAAGCAGTACAGCTGAACTGCCGTCAGCTTGAATTCTGAGACATGAGAGAGCAACAGAGAGAGCAGATAATCACTCACTCTCTTTGCCGACGTCAGAACTAACAGCAGGGCTGTTTAAAATGACAGAAATTTAAATGAAACCTGATCTAAAGGCTCAGAAGGATTTTTTATCAGAGCGTGCAGGACCATCATTAGGTCCCACTGTGGAGCTAGTGGACGTGACACAGGTCTGTGTCTCCGTACACCTTTCAGGAAACGCTTCATCAACGAGTGATTAAGAACTATTCTTTCACCGAAGCCCTCGTGACAGGAAGAAATAGCTGCAGCATAAGTTTTAATTGTGCTGAACGCTAGATCTCTGTCCATCAACTGCTGCAGAAAAGACAGCATGCCACCTAGTGGCCATGAGATGGCCTCTACGCCTGAGAAAGGATGAGGCGTATTAAAGTGAAACCTAACAAAGTTGATAAATAACTCTTAAGGTTTAGACCAATCAATAGTTGTGCTTTCTGACTCCTGCTCCATCAGCGGTCTCCCTGCCAACCTGCTTGAAGACATCACCTCAACTCTGGTTGTCTTGGACAAGTCGCTGACCACTAAGAGGTCCCTGGCCCTTAATCTGCCTCCTTGCTGTGGTACTTTGGAGGTGTGATCAGCCTCTGAAATTCCCTTAAAGACACAGGCTTCAAAACAGCCTTGATCCAGTAAGGGACCATTGTCCCATAATATAGGAACCATCTGGTTGTGAAACCTTTAAGCTGATGCATGTTAGTAAAACAATCTCTATTTTCAATCTCATACTTGATTAATTTGACAATCTGGCAGAATTGTTAACATTCATCTGAATTCATTTCTAAAGTGAACTATCCATCAAACTTGTTTCAGTTGTATAATTTTTATGCGTATAATTCTGTTTAATACAGACATTCTGTTCAAAATTCATTTTGCTTTAGAAAACCTATAATCAAAGTCATCCAGCCATCATCTTTACCTGCTTCTTCCTCTTTGGGTAGCGGGGGTCACCGGTGCGCATGTCCAGCAGTCACTGTGTGAGAGGTGGGGGACACCTGGACAGGTCTCCAGTCCATCACAGGGACACATAGAGACAAACAAGACAAACAACCATTCACTCTCTCACTCACACCTGGAGACAATTTAGAGTTACCAGTCAGTCTAACATGCATGTTTTTGGTCTGTGGGAGGAAACTGGAGTACCTGGAGAAAACCCACACATGCACGGAGAGAACATGCAAACTCCACCCAGCTAGGTCCCCCACCGGGATTTGAACCGGCAACCTTCTCGCTGAGAGGCAGCAGCTCTACCAACTGAACCACTGTGCCACTGATCAAAGTCATATTTTATAAAAACAAAGGGTTAATTCTTAAGAATATTAAATTTGATCCTAATCCCATCCATCTTTAACTATCAGGCAAGTAGCGCTGACGGTACCCAAGATCCTTTCAACCGTATTCAGAAATAATTTTGTCATCGTGTGAATTACACTTATTTTTTATTAATCTTTCAAAGACAACATTTTTTTGTATTTCTCAAGTGAAAATACCTGAACTAAAGGCGTAATTGAGATGTTGGAAAAACGACACCTTATATAGCACAATGCTGCAGAACATCAATCCACATGAGTTCAGTTCAGTCTGTGAATCCCTGAAGTAACCTGTGGCTGTGATCTATGGCAGGTCAGAGGAAACGATAGATGCACAAGGAGGGACAGAGTAGGTTGTAGAAGGAACCTACCTCTGTTCATTATTCAACATGAATGAGGAGCAGAGCTCCAGCGGGAGTGGACTTCCTGTGGAGGGAGGAGTGTGGCTCTGAGACCTGCATGCACACAACTGAGACAGCTTGACAAGCTGCTTCACCAGTCACATTAGCATTCTACAGTACATACTGGGGCAGTGGGGGGGGGGGGGGGTGCAGGAGGAGTAAGAAGCAATATACAGAGGTGAAGGAGAAAGGGAAATGTGCTCAGAAAGTAGGAACAAGAGGAAATGTGAGTATAAAAGGTAATTCAGGGAGACAGATGTGCGTGTTAAAGAGCATGATATGCTATATTAGGGCGTATTCCGGATGTTATTCACAAGATGTCGTTAAATATTTGATTGATTTAAAAACACTTTGAGGGTGACCTGTTTGCCTTCTCCACATTGTTGTTTTCACTGGAAGAGAGCACAAGAAGTGTCTGAAATTTCACATTCCCCTGACTCCAGTCCTATTCTTTCCCCCTGTGAGACACTTCACTGACAAGTTGACCTTGCTTCTGCAGCTTCATGGAAATAATAATGTATAGATATTCATTAAAGGTGTCTTCATCCAACTCTGCATCCCTGTAAGAAAATGTTTTTATTGTGGAAAAAGTTACTTTCAGCTGGTACAAGTCTAGTAGGTGAATAACTTAAATTTACACACATATTATTATTATTGTTATTATACTGTATATTTTTATTGGACAAATGTTTTCTTATCACACAATTAACACTGGCATGGCAGAGATTTGCTTCCAGTAGAGCAGGTGTATAATAAATGGTAATAACTATGTGTAATCAGTCACTGGCCACATATTTATTTAAAAAAATAAATGTTTATTTGTTTAAGTTATTTATTTGGATCCCCATTAGCCATTGCCGTAACAATGGCTACTCTTCCTGGGGTCCACATCATAAAAAAAAAACCCCAACAACATTTATTACAAAGACAGTTACACAAACTTAATATAACAGTAGTAACCTAGCATAATATACAATAATTCTTAAATGTATAATTATAACACTTTATATAATAAAACAATTTAGCAGGGCTCTTTTAAAGTGCCTAGCAGTTGTTATATTTAACACAGATGAAGGAATAGAGCTCCAGGTTTTAATTCCTCTAAAAATAATGCTCTTTTGTCCAGCGTTCCTGTTGCCTGCTGGAAGAACCTTTTAAAGCATGCCTTGTATTAAAGTTGTGTAAAGTTTGGCTAAATAAAAGTCAATTATATAAAACTGTTGGTGTCTTAGAGCCCACAATGTTTCTAAAAAAGCATAAAAGGGCAAGTTCAACCTTATTTTTAACCAAAAGCCAACTTAATGCTTTGTGCATACTGATAATATTTATATATATATGGAACCATTCAGTGCAAGACGAGCTGCTCTATTTTGGACTAATTGTAGTTTGGTGAAGTATTTTTCTGAAGCACGGGACCACACCATCGGACAATACTGCAAGTGACACAAGACAACTGTGTTAATAATTTGAGGGATTAATTTTAATGGTATATAATGTAAACATCTTTTTATAACAACTAGTTGTCTTCCCATCACGGCAACAGTGCGTTCAATCTGCAGAGTCCAATCTGCTGTCCAGAATAACTCCCAGAAGTCTAATTTATTCTACCTGAGTAATGGCTGTTCATTTATAGACAGGTTTACTTTGGGCTGAGTTTTTAAATTTCCAATTGGATCCAAATATAATGCTTTTGGTTTTAGATATGTTTAAAACCAATTTATTTGTATGCACCCAATTGACAACTTGCTTAAATTTGGTGGCCCAGGTGCTGGGCAGTGTCTCAACAGGTGATCCTGATATTCTAATATTCTGAACCTTTTCCAGACAGTTTCCAGTCACAGTGTGAAACCTCAAACATATCACGAAATTCCAAAACTTGTTGGTGCTTTAATTTAATTTAACAAAACGTTTTCTCATAATAGTAGAACCTGTGACACATCATTTTGGTATTATTATTATTATTGTTATTATTATTATTTTGTACATTTTGCATTTTTGGTTCAAAGTTGGTGAGATGTTCAGGTGCTATAAACTTTGTAATTTTGCTTTGCTAACAGCTGAGTAAACTTGTTTATGTCCTAAATTCATGCATGTACTTCAGTGAATTTTTACATCCTGTAGCAATTAATTTTTTTCCGTTGCTACTTTCCAAAGGTGACAGACATGATGCTCCAGGACCAGCACTACCCAGATTGGGGCAAAGCTGCAAGAAGGTTCTGGAAACAAGGCAACAATAGGATTGTCCTCTTCTGGTATGTCTTAAATAAAGAAAACTTGTCCATGTTCATTGTAGCCACATAATTTTCGTGCAGCTTGATTTTCTATGAGCTTGCCTCTGCATCATATAAAAAGCTGTGATGCTTTGCAGAGCTGTGTGTGTTCCACCAGCTCGTTGCAGGGTTGCGTGCAGTCAATAACCGTGTTAATCTGCCTTCAGTCAGTGTCAGCACCTTTAATTAGAGGAACAGGGTGAAAATCGATGGACACAGCAAGGTTGCAGGTTGCGCCACAGCCCTGCGTTCCGCTCGTTCATACCACAGGCTGTGACCCTGAAATAAATGCTAAACAAATGCTGCAAACTATGATGTGCCCATTATTTGTCAGATTATTAGTTCTGATCCCTGTGTATACATGTTTTATGGCTTTTGCTCAGTCCCAGTGGCGTTCAGTGAGTTACTGCCATCTTGTTAGTCACTCCTGACCATAATGGGAACATGTTCTCCCGTTTCCTTTTTTAGGTCACGGTGTGAAGTGAAGGACAAGTGAATACGTCTGACAAGCGTTTAACGTGTGCTCACAAAAATAAAGGCTTGACGTATTAAACGTTCAGGGAGAATTTGGCCACAAACCTTCAACATTTTCTTGAGTGAAATTGATTCTCTAGTGATTAGAATGCAAGCAGATGAATTGTTCTGTGACTTTTCTGCAACCCTTCATTTTATTGATGGATGTCCTGGCTCGTGCTGTCATAATCGAAGCGAGATTTGACAAGCTTTCATATGGAATCCAGAGCTTGAAATGTGATTGATAAATAATCAGCTGAATAGGTCTTGTCAGTATGAGCTGAAGGGTTTTACAGACTGTAGGACGGTGCCGAAAGGTTTGGCCACGCACAGTAAAAAGTCATGCTGCAGAATATTAAAACCCTTCAAATTTATCTCTCAAACTATTGAAATGGGAGCTGGGTTGACACTCACTATAACCACTGGGTGAAACTGAGGCAAAATACAAAGAGAAGAATAATACTTAGTGTCTGTGGCTCCCCTCACATGGCTGAAAATGTTTCCAGAAAACTGTGAATGCAAAACAGAGCTGTTTGGCTTGTAGAGAAAAACCACAGCAATGGCTGTGAGCCACTTTGTGTTCGCTATGTAAATACATGGAAATGAGTGCGCACAAGAGTTTGAGTTCCATCGTTTCTGCATGTACAGATAGACAAGGTTTATGTTTATGCACAGTCAACTTTCAAGAAGCATTACCTGTTGACATTTTTCAAATCTTTGTACAAAAACTTGTTAATTTTTCTCTACAAACATTCTGAACAGCGCTCACTTCTTACCAGCTGTGTTGACGTTTGCCCTGAGCAAGTAGATTCTGACAGGTCAATAACCTTCAGCAAAAATACCACAATTTCACAGTTTTAAAGGATTCTAAATTTAAAATGTATCAGAACATACGTATCTAGAAGGTCAAGGTTAACATCTTAATTTAATTGCAAGAATCAATATTTAATTGAATTAGATGTCAGTTTTTGGCTAAAACACCAGAAAGCCAGCAGGTTGTTTGTTTTGTTTTTCTAATACATGAACAAAAAAGTAAAAATCATGAAAAAAATAAAATAAACATGAGGTAAGTTTACTTATTGTTCTAAAGAAAAGTTTCTTATTGTGCACATTATTAATTGTCTGTCCTATTTTTATTTGTAAAGTAACCATGAGTGTCTAACCAGTCAATGTTAGCTTGTAAATTAGCCAAGTTTTAGAGAGCCTTGTTTACTTTACTAATGGGCATGCTAGCTCTTATAGCTTGTTGCAAACATAAGTTTTACCCTAAAAAATGTTTCAAACAGGCATCGATGGAAAACGTTTATGGGGAATTCCCTTACTTCTAGCATTTCATATGTTTATACACACACACACACACATATTTGTAAAGTAACCATGA